TTTAGTGGTAATAAGCATTGTGTATAAGTTTCATAACATTTGGTTGAGGCAAACTATTAAAAGTTAGAGAACGGAAACCAACTTTGGGACGGACGTACAGACGGACATGGGTAAAACTTAATGCCCCCTTCACTACGGCGGGGGCATAAAAAGACGAATTTTGGGAGAATCTGGTGCCATCTCATACTAATAGCATTTATTATAAAATGGCTTAAAAGACCTGCCGACTTATTTATTTTCAATACATCGCAAGTCAGGTTATTTATTTTCAAACTACACCAGAACAAACCATTTACTTTTGTTATTATCAAGGCTGAGTTATTTTTTTTTTCAAAATCCTCCTGGCCCCTCCCCCCCAAAATATCAAATGATCGTCCCCTAACTGACAGGACTATGTCCTGTTTTGACTGATAAAAAATAAAATAGTTAAAGAAGACGTATCATCGTTTATTTGGAAAAGGATTATATTTTAGATTCCGGTAAATCAATTGTAAAAGGACCTGATAGAGCCTCAATATTAAGGCACAAAAATGTACATCATTACATAGCAACTTTAAAACCTGAATGATTTTTCCCACGGTCGTTCATAAAGGTCACATGAGTTTAATGTTACGTTAAATTTCCCGCCATTAAAAATCTCGTGCCGTGGACAAAATTGATGTCGGCTATTTTTAGCATTCAATATAGTGAGCGAAGTCAAGTTCAAGTTCAAGTTCAACCACATGCTGTTATTCACTGAGATGTGTATCGTGGAATTGTCTTCCCACGGCAAATTAATTTTTTAAAATTGTCCAAAATACAACACACAAAGATTACATTCATTGTGCGTAAATTAATATTATTTATGCAGCGACGAGTTAATGCAGCAACCTAAAAGCACGATATTGCATAGGTTATGACGTTCCCCTGCTCGTAAGAAAGAGCAAATTTTAATTATTAATTTGATTAGAAAAGATCGCCCGGACCTAATTCTCATTCATTCATTCATTCAATGTATACCCATCGAATGACAAATATGTCACGCGTAGACCACGTATTTGTGTACCAAGGTTGATTTAGTTACATGTATGGAAGTATTCCTGTTGTAGCCGAAATGTATTAAATATCCTAAAGTAATGCCAACAAATCGTAATAAGAAAATGCCGTAGACTTGTAAACATAGTGAATGGTGAATAATTTGGGTATTTTTTATTTGCATATACAAAACATTGAGACACGTAATTTTCTTTAAACTGATCACATTTATTAAGTGGTAGTTTACGTTTATTTTTACACAAGTATGTCCCTTTTCGTAAATAAAATATCATTTTACCGGTGAGAAAAAAAAAACGAGGTCAAAATCAAGTATATTTTTTTTTTTATAAATCTATTTAATGCAATTGAAGGAATTAACAACAACATTTTGCTTTTAAATCTTTTATTTGTTTCAGTCAATTAGATATATAACCTGATTATAAATAGACAGGAAATACAATTGTTTAATTACATAAGAAATTTCACATACCCTGACTGTCGCGTGCTGGCATAGATCAAGAGGATTAGGGCAATTAATTACCTGATGTGACACTGTGCTGGGAGAGATGTCGCTAATGAAATAAACAAAGTAGCGGAAGTCGGAGGGAATTTAGGGAGGATTATTGGAGTTTCCTGGTGTCACACCGAGAATAATTGTGGTGTATGGAGTTTGGGAACATATTTGATTTACTTGTACTGTAATGCTCTTTGTGTGGTAGGAACATACCTTTAACTATTTTATATGAAATGTTGTCTTTGCAAATTCATCTCTATATATATATTCTGTACACCGTATTTATTACGTATGTAGTGTATATTATACGTACTTATTATTTGGATTTAATTACCGAAAAGTAAGGAGAGGAGAGAGAAAAGAAAAAAACTATTCTTACTCCAACACTGCCCGCACCTCCATCTGACACCCTCTGACTTGATTTTATCAACAAAATAAAATATCTAAAATTGCCATGAAGATGGTAAACATTAAAGTGGACATTATTTTAGATAAATATGTTATCCTGAAATAAATTGATCAGGTATTTCCTGTCCAGATCGAATATTTAGTTCGTTTCACGAATAAAGGGCTGAGCCTGTAGCTTTTACTATTTATTATACCTTGTTTATTGTTAGCAATTTACCAAAATCGATTGCAACTTTATTACTCTGCACGCCTATCTGAATGGGAGACCTTTACATTACAAATAAATGCAACAAAGACATTGGATAGTGTCCTGTTAGTACTCGTATATATTGAGTAAATCCGGGAACAGTATATATATTTATATATGAGAGACATAGGTATTAAAAATATAAGCCAGGTTAAAATTAAATAGTAATATCACCAGAAATGCATTTAATAAATTCTAGTATGGTCATCATATTATAACAAAAATAAATATCAGGTGCCTGTTAAGTGTGTTCATACCAATCAATATTCCTATAATTAAGTCCCTCCTATTTATAACCTGGGACATACTTAACGATTCATGTTTATATATAATTATAATAATAAATTATAACTATTAAAACATATGCAATAATTAAAATAATCAACACCCAGCCAAACAAATTGACTTTATATGAGACACTGTATATAGAATGAATAGGCTACTGACAAGTGACAAAAATAGAAATAAAACTCAAAGTTAAACCAGAGACTTATGCTGACCATTGTTACAGTTGTCAATCTCTGTGTATATATATATATGTCTCTGGTTAAACACATTTTCCAATTTGAACCTTTAACTTGATTGCATTCATTTCCGTATTTTCCAATTTGAACCTTTAATTTATTTGCATTTATTTCCGTATTTTCTAATTTGAACCTTTAACTTAATAAACCACTTCCATTCATAAATATTTGCAGTTGTGTATTGCAAAGATACCACGTGTATTCATCGTGTACATTGGTCGTATTAAAATAGATTTTTATTATTGACCAATGAAAAAATTCGATATTTAATTCATCAGAAAAGCCATGCTTAAAAGCGTTTCGTATTTGTATTTAGATCTTTCCCCTTAATTTGAAACCTGCAACACTGATAAAAGAATCCAAGAAAAAAAATGTAGACTAATCATCTAATCCAGCGACATTTTATATTATAAGTCTCAGTCTACTCCATAGATCTATACTATCTTTCTGTCTTCATTTACAGGTAACTATATTTTCAAATGCATCGTAAATAAGATGGTTAATTTTAACAGATTCTGATTTGCATTGATTATATATATCTGTTGTACATTTTAACGATGTATTTACAACCGTCGCTCACGCTTCACTGGTTCTATTGACGACTCAATACACATCAGTTTTATCGGACAAACAGCTAATTCCCGTCGACACGATAAATCATGTGTATTAACTGAAACACTTTTAAAAATACTATAGCTAATGTTAAATAATACACACGTCGTTCGCGCGAGTTATTAAAGGGACATCGTTATCTAAGAGTATGAGAGGGATCATTTAATTGTATGTGTTCATAAGAAATTTCAGTAAACTTTAATTAATGTCCATCACGGAACTGAGGGATACGCGTTTTCCATTATAGCTGCAGAGTAGAAACCTGACAAATTCTTCAAGTCAAGCCCAACAATTTTTTTCACTAATGACATTATCCATATACTTCTGTGTTTCCGTGACCAATATGTATTTAGTTTTCCGGGACAAGGACCAAAAATAGACATAACTGATTTATTTTTCTAAACATGGCAATTAAAGACGAATTTAATTTGATAAAAAAAAATCACATTCTGACCCAAACTATCGGTTAACGTTATGTATCTATCATAGATATAAGTTCAATTTACGCGTTTTTTGTTTTACGTAAAACGACTTCCATTCATAGATATTTGCAGTTGTGTATTGCAAAGGTACCACCTGTATTCATAGTTTACATTAGTCGTATTAAAATAGATTTTTATTATTGACCAATGAAAAAAAATCGATAGTTATTTAATCAGAAAAGCAATGCTTAAAAGCGTTTCGTATTTGTATTTCGATCTTTCTCCTTAATTTGAAAAAACCTGCAACACTGATACAAGAAAACGAAAAAAGATGTAATCATCTAAAGCAGCGACATTTTATATTATATGTCTCTGTCTTAACCATAGCTCTATACTATCTGTTTCTGTCTTCATTTACAGGTAACTATATTTTCAAAAACATCGGAAATAAGATGGTTAAGTTTAACAGATTCTGATTTGCATTGAATATATATATATATCTGTTCTACATTTTAACGATGTATTTATAACCGTCGCTCACGCTTCACTGGTTCTATAGACGACTCAATACACATCAGTTTTATCGGACAAACAGCTAATTCCCGTCGACACGATAAATCATGTGTATTAACTGAAACACTTTTAAAAATACTATAGCTAATGTTAAATAATACACACGTCGTTCGCGCGAGTTATTAAAGGGACATCGTTATCTAAGAGTATGAGAGGGATTACGGCAAACATCTAAAACGCCGGACGAAAGTCTAAAAATACAGCAAACGTCTAAAGTCAGAGGAGGAGGTCTATTTCTGTGTCAAACATCTATAATTACGAATTATGGTTATTTATTAACCATAATCTGGCGTTCTTGCCATTAATCGGGCACTATAACCATATGGCTTTCCTAGTGTATACGGCATATATTTCTGAATTTTATCTACTTCAAAATATAAAATTAAAAAGTTGTGAAAACAGGAAATTGTGAAATATCCTCCTTATTTATTGTGACAGTCAGCAGGAAACAGATATGGCCTAAGATTTTTTTAGTAGCAAATTGTCGAAGCTACATAGTGTATATACCAGAACAAAAACCAAGTTCATTTTGAAACACTACCATGTTTTATAGCACAAATAGGCAAGAAGTTGACCACTGAAGTACATGTATGCCTCTCTTGGGCATGTTATAGAACGTAATTGTGAATTATTTCATGTATTCAAAAGACACACCTGGAGTCTCAATACTTGTTTTGTATTTTCAGTTTGTCAAGTGTGGTTTTGCTGGTTCCAACTTTCCAGCGCACATTTTTCCATCATTAGTTGGTCGTCCCATTATCAGATCTACAGCTAAAGTGGGAGATATAGAAGTCAAGGTAATTTCCTGTAATTCAGCAAATTGATAATCATTCGAAGGGATTTCTTATGCTTTTGTAAATAATTTTTAAGACCAAAACTTCAGAAGAATCTTTGCTACACTTTGCCTTTTAGATGTATATATATATTTTGCATGCACACGTATAAAAATTGCGGTTTTTATCCAACGCAATCATAGGTTTGAACGTTGTTTTCAATTGAGACTTATATATATATATATATATATATATATATATATATATACATTGATATATATTAATTATAAAGGAAGTTGAAAAATATGGACTCCTTTGTATTATAAGATTTTAGTATGGAGGTTATACAAATTATTTCGTACCAAACTTTGGTTTGAAGTGCTTCACAACAATATAAAAATCCAGATTTCAATTTTTAAATGAAATTCAGCAGTAAACATGGTAAATATATCTAAAAATTGCAGAGAAGTAATTTTGTTTTGGCTGACTTATTTCAGGATCTGATGATTGGAGATGACGCAAGTAAACTTAGATCCATGTTAGAAGTAAATTACCCCATGGAAAATGGAATAGTTAGGAACTGGGAAGATATGTTACATTTGTATGACTACACATTTGGACAAGAAAAGCTGAATATAGATCCCAAAGACTGCAAAATTTTATTGACAGAACCACCAATGAATCCAACGAAAAACAGAGAAAAAATGGTGGAGGTTTGTATTTCCATTGTTATTTTTTCCTTTTATCAAACAGAAATGACAACTAATTTGCGAAAAAGAGTTATCTCCCATACTGGATGGGATAGAATAGACTTATTGTACAGACAAGTAGATTCACTTAAAATTCACTCTTGGTGAATTTTTACTGTGATTTTGAGTGATTCACTCTGAATTATCACTATTCAATTGATATTTTATGCTTGTAGGAAACTGAAAGCTTTAGTTGATGTTCTATGAATGAAACAGTAAATCTGTATGTAGACATTCTCTCATTCTAGATGCCTACTATTGCGGGTTATGAAAGCTTTTACAGTTTGTTTATGTTCTTGTTTAAACTAAATGCGACTGACATTCCTACTATATTAATATGACCAAATAATTTTCTTGCACGGGATAACCAATAAAATATTTATTTTAATCAATAAGTCCCATTATAATAGATTAATTTACATAAAATTGGCAGGATGAGCTTATTGTCTTTGACATTTCACTTGCTAACTATCCTTTGTAGTAATTGTATATGGCTAATTTAACCTAAAGTTGCAGCAATTTCAGTTTTGATGATATTCATAACAGCAAATTGTTGGTTTTTTATACGACCGCAAAAATTGAAAATTTTTTGGTTGTATATTGGTATGACGTTGTCGTCGTCGTCGTTGTCGTCGTCATCCTGCGTCGTCCGAAGACACATTGGTTTTCGCACTCTAACTTTAGTTTAAGGTGGTACCCAACACCTTGACTAATATTAATTTGGCTCGTTTAATTTTCATAAAATTTTGACAAAATGTTTACTTTGACCCTTTGACAAAAATATAAAAATTTCAAAAAATTTGAACCAACCACTTTATCAGAAAAATTTCATTGGTTATATAGCAGTTTGACAAACACTAATTTTGATCATTGAGAAGCTTAATATTTCCTTAACAATACAACGTAATTAAAACGTTTAGCTGATTTTTACAGAGTTATCTCCCTGTAGTATTAGGTACCACCTTAAGTGAATGGATCTCCATGAAATTTTACCATAAGGTTCAATACCACGAAAGGAAGGTTGGGATTGATTTTGGGTGTTATGGTACCAACAGTTAAGGAATTAGGGGCCAAAAAGGGGCCAAAAATAAGCATTTTTGTAACTTCCAGACAATAACTTGTGTGTAAGTGTATGGATCTCTCTAACATTGTACCACAAGGTTCCATATCACAAAGGGAAGGCTGTAATTGATTTTGGGGGTAATTGCCTCAAAATTTTAGGAATTAGGGTCCAAAAAAGGGGCAAAAAACAAGCATTTTTCTAGTTTCATGACAATAACTTGTAAGTGTATGGATCTCTCTAACATTGTACTACAAGGTTCCATATCACAAAGGGAAAGCTGGAATTGAGTTTGGGGGTAATTGCCCTAAACGTTTAGGAATTGGGGGCCAAAAAGGGGCCAAAAATAAGCATTTTTCTAGTTTCCAGACATAACTTGTGTTCAAGTGTATGGATCTCCCTGAAATTGTACTGCAAGGTACCATACCACAAAGGGAAGGCTGGGATTGAGTTTGGGGGTGATGAATCATAAGGGGGTTCAAAAATTTTGGGGGGGGGATTTTTTTTTCTTTCTTTCTTTTACTTTTTTTCCTTTTTTTTTTCTTTTAAAATTTTCCATTTTAAGTTGGTTATTTCTGATTTATATTTAAAAGCAAATAATAATGATATGGTAGGAGATACACACCAAACAGGATGTGTAAATTATTATATAATAAGTATTGTGCAATAGCAAGAAAATTTCAATTCCACAGTATTGCACAATAGCAAGAAATCTTCAATTGCACAGTATTGCGCAATAGCAAGAAATCTTCAATTGCACAGTATTGCGCAATAGCAAGAAATATCCAATAGCACAATATTGCGCAATAGCAAGAAATTGTCAATTGTACAGTATTGCGCAATAGCAAGAAATATTCAATTGCACAGTATTGTGCAAAAGAAGATACTTCGTATAAATTGCTTATTTCTTGATCAATTTCAATGGGGTTTTATTCTTGAATTCTTGGGGTTCTTTAATATGCTGAATCTAACCGTGTATTAAGTTTTTGGATTTTGGGCCCTGTTTTTAAATTGGTCCACATTGAGGTCCAAAGGGTCCAAAATTTAACTTTGTTTGATTTCATCAAAAATTGAATTATTGGGGTTCTTTGATATGCCGAATCTTACTGTGTATTTAGATTCTTAATTTTTGGTTCCGTTTTCAAATTGGTCTACATTAAGGTCCAAAGGGTCCAAAATTAAACTTAGTTTGATTTTAACAAAAATTGAATTTTTAGGGTTCTTTGATATGCTGAATCTAAACATGTATTTAGATTTTTGATTATGGGCCCAGTTTTCAAGTTGGTCCAAATCGGGGTCCAAAATTAAACTTTGTTTGATTTCAACAAAAATTGAATATATGGGGTTCTTTGATATGCTGAATCTAACCATGTATTTAGATTTTTGATTTTTGGGCCCCGTTATCAACTTTGTCCACATTGAGGTCAAAAGGGTCTAAAATAAAACTTTGTTTGATTTCATCAAAAATTGAATTCTTGGGGTTCTTTGATATGCTGAATCTAACCATGTATTTAGGTTTTGGATATTGGACCATAATAGGTGAATGTCCAATTTAAAATTTTTAAGTTCTTAGACCACATTCATTCTGTGTCAGAAACCTATGCTGTGTCAAATATTTAATCACAATCCAAATTCAGAGCTGTATCAAGCTTGAATGTTGTGTCCATACTTGCCCCAACTGTTCAGGGTTCGACCTCTGTGGTCGTATCAAGCTGCGCCCTGCGGAGCATTTTATTTTAAACTGTTTTGTTTTGTCCTCACCAAAGTGTATCAACTGTTTAATATAATAATTTCAATTTTATTCCTTATTTACAGACCATGTTTGAGAAATACCAGTTTCACAGTGTATATGTAGCTATCCAGGCTGTATTGACATTATATGCTCAAGGTAAGATTTACTATAAATCCCTGTATTGACACTGCAGTTAAACCTGGTTTGATTATGCAGAAGTATTGTCAGTGAACTCTTTAATCAATCAATGCTAAACTTACAATTTACAGCAAAATGACATGAGTGTGTAGGTAAAGGTAATATCTTTGGTTAGCTTGCTTGCTAGCTGAACCGTGAAGTCATTATAAGGTTAGGTATACTACCCTCCTTTAAGAGTAGACTAGTCCAGCAGATAACCAATCTGTCTGTAGGACTAGACTACTCCGACAGGAGGGTAGTATACCTAACCTAATAATGATTTCACGGTTCAGCTAGCAAGCAAGCTAGCCAAAGATATTACCTTTACCTACACACTCAAGTCATTTTGCTGTAATTAGAATATAAGCATTCTGTTTGACTGATATAATGTAGAAAACTAGATTATATTTTCTTCTTTACATCAGATCAGTATCATTTACCAAAAAAATCTAAAAATTGATAGAAATTGTGCGGAATAAAATAAGTTATCTCCCCATGGCTTATATTCTGAACAGGACAAACTAGACTTTTCAGTTAAAGTTCACTCTTGCTGCTGTTGGGGGATTCAGTGTCAAATAATCATTAATGTAATTGGAGGTGATAATACTCTTGATTTACAAAATGTATGTGACCTACATTCATGTAACCATATAGATTATACAGAAATATATTTCAAGTGAAATGCATACAATTACCAAAATTCACTAAATATCTAGAGTGATTTTTAACTGGATCACCTTTTGTCTCCAGCATATTCCTGTTCATTTAGCATCTGAGTAGAACATGACAAAAAATACTATTTTGTTAACAAAGTGAGGTTTTCATTTAAAGATTTTTATGCCCCCGCCGTAGCGGAGGGGGCATTAAGTTTTCTCCGTCTACTTACATCCCAAAGTTAGTTCCGTTCTCTAACTTTAGTTTGCCTCAACCAATTGGTATGAAACTTATACACAATGCTTATACACAATGCTTATTACAACAAAATACAGATCAAGTTTGAATTTTGGTGGCGTCACTTTAACCGTTCTAGAGTTATGCCCCTTTACAATTGGACAAATTGCTAAATTTTTCGTTTCTGTTCTCTAACTTTAGTTTGCCTCAACCAAATGGTATGAAACTTATACGCAATGCTAATTACCACAAAATACAGATCAAGTTTGAATTTTGGGGGCGTCACTTTAACTGTTCTAGAGTTATGCCCCTTAACAATTGGAAAAATTTCTAAATTTTTCGTTTCCGTTCTCTAACTTTAGTTTGCCTAAACCAAATGCTATGAAACTTATACACAATGCTCATTATCACAAAATACAGATCAAGTTTGAATTTCGGGGGCATCACTTTAACTGTTCTAGAGTTATGCCCCTTAACAATTGGAAAAAATTCTAAATTTTTCATTTCTGTTCTCTAACTTTAGTTTGCCTCAACCAAATGGTATGAATCTTGTACACATTGCTTATTACCACAAAATACAGATCAAGTTTGAATTTTGAAGGTGTCACTTTTATTGTTCTAGAGCTATTCCCCTTTACAAATGGAAAAATTGCTGAATATTTTGTTTCTGTTCTCTAACTTTAGTTTGCCTCAACCAAATGCTATGAAACTTATACAAAATGCTTATTACAACAAAATATAGATCAAGTTTGAATGTTGGTGGTGTCGCTTTAACCGTTCAGGAGTTATGCCCCTTTACAAATGGAAAAATTGCTGAATTTTTCGTTTCTGTTCCCTAACTTATGTTTGCCTCAACCAAATGTTATGAGACTTATACACAACAAGAAATGATTGTAACAGGATGCTGTTACGAAGTCTCCCAAACGAAGCTCCCATAATTCGTAATTCCCAGGGTCGCCTGACATTGGGCAACGTCCAGTGAAAATTGGTTTGGTCCAGTAAAGTTATATGCATTAGTGATGCCTGGGGACTAACCTTGTATATCATTCAAATCATCTTGGCATGACAAACCAGAATATATATGGTTTAGGGTTGGGGATCTCGACCATTTACAAGATACTAGAACATTGGGGGTTGGGAGGAACCCCTGGGGACTGGCCCTATACGTCATTCAAATGTTCATTACATGACAAACAGGAATAAATATGGTTTAGGGGTGGGGATCTCAACCATTTACAAGATATTAGAACTTTCTTAAATGGCAGGGGGTGGGGGTGACCCCTGGGGACTAACCCTGTATTTCATTTGATGTGCTTTATCATGGCAAACCAGAATATATATGGTTTAGGGGTGGGGAATTCGACCATTTACAAGATATTAGAACTTTCTCAAATGGCAGGGGGTCGGGATGACCCCTGAAGACTAACCCTGTATATCATTCAAACCATCTTAGCATGACAAACCAGAATATATATGGTTTAGGGGTGGGGATCTTGACCATTTACAAGATATTAGAACTTTCTTAAATGGCAGGGGGTGGGGGTGACCCCTGGGGACTAACCCTGTATTTCATTTGATGTGCTTTATCATGACAAACCAGAATATATATGGTTTAGGGTGGGGATCTCGACCATTTACAGATATTAGAACTTTCTCAAATGGCAGGGGGTAGGGATGACGCCTGGGGACTAACCCTGTATATCATTCAAACCATCTTAGCATGACAAACCAGAATAAATATGGTTTAGGGGTGGGGATCTTGACCACTTACAAGATATTAGAACTTTTTTAAATGGCAGGGGGTGGGGGTGACCCCTGGGGACTAACCCTGTATTTCATTTGATGTGCTTTATCATGACAAACCAGAATATATATGGTTTAGGGGTGGGGATCTCGACCATTTACAAGATATTAGAACTTTCTCAAATGGCAGGGGGTCGGGATGACCCCTGGGGACTAACCCTGTATATCATTCAAACCATCTTAGCATGACAAACCAGAATATATATGGTTTAGGGGTGGGGATCTTGACCACTTAGAAGATATTAGAACTTTCTTAAATGGCAGGGGGTGGGGGTGACCCCTGGGGACTAACCCTGTATTACATTTGATGTGTTTTATCATGACAAACCAGAATATATATGGTTTAGGGGTGGGGATCTCGACCATTTACAAGATATTAGAACTTTCTCAAATGGCAGGGGGTTGGGATGACCCCTGGGGACTAATCCTGTATATCATTCAAACCATCTTAGCATAACAAACCAAAATATATATGGTTTAGGGTGGGGATCTTGACCACTTACAAGGTATTAGAACTTTCTTAAATGGCAGGGGGTGGGGGTGACCCCTGGGGACTAACGCTGTATTTCATTTAATGGGCTTTATCATTTAGAACATTTTCAATTAAAAAGATTGTGTCTATCACAAACGGTTTTCAATTTATAATCATTTGAAAATTTTAAAAAATAAAATCCCATAGGGTTCTATAGTAAAACCCTCTTTTCTTTTTGCCCCTCAAAGTACCCCTTTATAAACCCCATTGCACTAACAAAACCCTGATTGCACCACTAGACATGTTAGTCTAACATATTGTGAAACCCTACGTTAATCTGACAAGCGGTTTTGGAGAACGGGTGCGGACAAGTTCAAATTTAAAAGCAGCGGAAGAAGAAGAAGAATAATAATAATAATAAGAACTGAGCAAAAACAATAAGTCTTCCCAAACTTTGTTTGGGAGACTTAATTATTATTACCACAAAACTCATTACTCTAATCAAGTACAAATTTGGATACAATGTACCTTCACTTTAACTGTTCTTCAGTTATGTCCCTTTATAACTTTATGTGATATGCAAGCGGGGGCATCATCTGTGTCACATGGACACATTCCCCATTTATTTTTTATAAAATTATCTGAAAGGTGCTTTTTGTTTTGCATGCAGTATAATTATGATTGATCCTCTTCAGAACAAAAATTTTTTTTTTTTGATTCAAGCGTCAATGACGAGTCTTTTGTAGACAAACACATGTCTGACTTACAGATTTTAATCCTAATATCTTGATCTTTTCTGACAGAAAAAGTCTTATCCAAAAATCTAAATTAACTTCTTGGCCCCTGCAGATTTGTTAATCCTTGAACACATATGTGGCTGATTGTATTGTAGCTGTATGGAGATTAACCATTAAATGGTATAACATTTATTGATTTCCATTGGGAACCGAAAAGAACAATTTTTAATCCTTCAGTCTGTTATATGAATGTTTTTTGTGACGATTGTTGTTTTCAAATTACTGAAGTCATTGCAAACATGAAAGTTTAATGCTTTATTAAAATAAATGTTTTAAAAAATATGTTTTATGGTTATTGTATTGCTGTTGTGGAATGAAAAAAAACATAGATTTCTAGCAAAAAAAGGAACGAATACCATTTATCAATTTAGTCCCGAGCTGATTATTTTTTCTGAATCCAGTTCTTATAAATTCTCTTACCTATTTTGTGTAAAACAATCATCTATTTAAAGTTTTGAACATAAATCATGGATATTTAACTAAACATAATATCATTGTTGGTATTTTTATTCCTTTATGTATGGAAATGATTGTATCCATTCAACTCACATCTATATTTATGTATCTGGCAAGTTATGGAACGTTAAAGCTATAACTTAGAATTTACACATTGGTTGTGCTATTTTTTTAGATGGTACATGTACTTTCAATCTTAGCTGTTAAAGATATTGTGTTCACAAGATTAAGGCCTTTATTAGCTATTAGCTATAATAAAAACTAAATAAATGATTTTTTATTGAAACACTGATCGTGCCTCATCTTTTGGATTTCTAAATTTGTTGATTTTCCATAATATGACTAAGGCCTCTAAAGCAGTGATTGTAAAGGAATTGTTAAAGAAGATAGAATGATAATTGTTTAAGGTTTTGGGTTCAAATCCTACACCCATAATGAGAAAGTTTGTGAATATAATGTTAGGTTGATATATATATTTTTTAATCAAATAGATAAAAATGTGTATTTTTATTTTACCATATATGCAGATCTTTTTTTCTTTTTTACTCTCAAAAAGTAAGTGTACGGTTGTAATTGTTATGTTAAAACTGATTCAATATAGTTTCTTAATAAGTTTCTTTTTAATGTTGACATAGTTGACATGATGTTTATTTGGACAACTTATAACCAATAAAAGTAAATCTGATTGATAAAATGTTTTATAAAACTAAAACGATAGGTAAACATTTGCTATGATGAAAGGACATTACAAGTGTATTGGGTACATGGATGTTTATTTTACAGTGTTTAAAACTGTGGTGTTATAACCATTTTCATAAAATCAGCCTAGTATGTTCAAACCTGACATTTGGAATAAACAGATTTTTTTAAATGGTTTTAGAGAAAGTTTTTGATCCATTTTTTCTACTCGTCATTCTATATTTTGTTATTGCTATATTAATTTATTATAATGCTTGATATTTTTTGTTCGCTAAATAATAATAGTGGTCAAGTCCTGTGTTTTGAATTAGAATGGTCAAATGTAGAACGTAAATTACTTACGTTAACAAATAATGCTCATGATAAAATGGATCTACACACAAATGAAAACAACAAGATGGGAAAAAGAAGACATAATATACTTTTTATTAAATGGAAGAAGCTCAAACAAACAGTTTGTTTGCATTTATTAAAACACATTATCAATAAAGCACTTTAAGAGTAAAAGTTATCAAACATAAGTATGTCAGCAGTAGCTGAAGGGACATTAAGTTTTACCCTTGTCCCTCTGTACATCCGTCTGTCCATACATCCATATGTCCGTATGTCCCAAAATTGGTTTCCGTTCTCTAACTTTAGTTTGCCTCTACCAAATGTTATGAATCTTATTCGCAATGCTTAATACCACAAAAGACAGATCAAGATTGAATTTGGGTGGCGTCACTTTTACCTTTCTAGAGTTATGCCCCTTTACAAATGGCAAAATTGCTGAATTTTGTTTCCTTTCTCTAACTTAATTTGCTTCAAGCAAATGTTATGAAACTTATACAAAATGCTTATTACCACAAAACTCAGATCAAGTACGGTTTGGGTAGCGTCACTCTTACCGTTTTTGAGTTATGTCCCTTTATAATGTTATATGCAAGTAGGGGCATCAACTGTGTCCCTGGACACATTCCCCATTTATTTTTGGTAAATATAAAAAGAAATGTATCTATTATCATGCAAACAATTTGTTTAATTGTAAATGTCCCTGGAACTTCTACAAAAAATTTATGTAATTTTCCTTCAAATTTGAAATCCCTAAGGCTTCTGACCTACATATTTTTGAACCCTGACCCATGGTACTAATTTAGATTATTCTGTAAATGATTTATTGATTTTAACAAAGACAGGTTGTTGGGTTTGAAGATGTACTGTTGAGAGTTAATTGGAGATTTTAATTTGTCAACAGATTATTGCTCTAGTTATGGTCCCACAGAGATTTAAGTAAAAGTTTCATCTTTTGGTTCATTTGGAATTTATACAACTTAAAATTGTGTTGAACAGAAAGAAACAATGAGTAAAGATGGATAAGGTTAAAAAACAACATGTAATTATAGTAAAGACTAGTATTTATGTTACTTTTGACTGAAATGGAAAAAAGGTTAATAAACTACTGACATATTTTAATGTTTCATCAAGTGGTTGATTGCATACTAGTATATATAAAAACTAGAAGATGTGGTATGATTGATTGCCAATAAGACAACTCTCCACCAAAAACCAAATGAGGTAGAAGTTAACAGCTATAGATCACAGTACAACCTTCAACAATAAGCAAAACCCATGTTGCATAGTAAGCTATAAAAGGCCCTAGAAAGACAGATGTAAAACATTTAAAACGAGAAAACTAACGGCCTGATTTTATGTTCAAAACAATAAACGAAAAAAACTATGTCATTAACAGAAGCTGAACTGTTTATCTCTTTTATAGGTGGTTTGGGTTATAATCAGACATGGTTCAAATTTAGTTGCTAGCTTGATGTCATGTAATAATTTCAAAGTTATATCACAGATATATCTTGACTAAATTTTGTTTCAGATTTTGTCCTTTGCTGGGTTAAAGGTTTAAGATTTTTTTGTCTGATTTCATCCAATGTTCATTTTTAAGTTGACTTTTCCTCTGTTCTTTGCATTCATGGTCAAACAGATCTCCTGTTAAGTAATTTTGGGGAATGTATCTTTCATTTAACAGAGATTTTGTGTATTTTCAGGTTTACTAACTGGAGTTGTTGTAGATTCAGGTGATGGTGTTACACATATATGTCCTGTTTATGATGGCTTTGCCTTGCCACATTTAACAAGACGTTTAGACATAGCTGGTAGAGATATAACTAGATATTTAATAAAGGTAAATATTAAATGTTTGTATTTGGAGGAAATAAAGTCCAACTATAAACTCTGTAATTTTTTTTAATTTTTTTTTTAAATGGAAAAAAAATTGCCAAAAAGTTGGGGGTGGGGGCTGCAATTCTTAAGCAATGAATGTCATGAGGGCAAGATATAGCTGGATGTTTCTACACCATACCCCCTTTTTTAAAAAGCTTTAATTATTATTTACAGGCCTTCTTTTTGAAGTAACTGCAATAGCCTGTTGAAAATTTGAATGTTAGTTATATTAGGCGAAAGTTTTTAAATTCATAGCTTTACGGATCTGCCGATCCAATTTTTCTGATTTTTAGAAAGAAAAAAAATTGATATTTCATGCTTTTTGATTCCAGCCGACCCTATGAAGTGCATTATCAATGAAATATAAATAAAAATATCTGCATAGCAGCATTTTCCTGAAATTAAACGCATTGATTAAGCATGATAAAACATTATCAGAAATGATTACACATTGTGTTATAAAAAAAAAAAAAATTCAAAAATGACCTGAAATGTTGTTTGTGCAAATAATTTTGCAGAACAAAACCTATGTAAAAAAAACCATTACAAGTTTGTTTTCCTTTTTTGTCCTAATTCTGTAAGATTTTTCATCTCATTGATGAAATGAACCCGTCCAAACATGATAGACGTCCAGTTAAAAGAAAGAGATATGCACAATAACTGGGAATATCCTTATTTCATAGATTGAAATAAAGTGGTCGTCCTTTAGGATATCAAAAACAGAATTGCCTGACAAAGGATGTAAATGATATCCTCGTCTTTCCGGTGGACCCTTTATTTTAGTGCGACGTGTTTTCGTATTCGAAGCTAATTATACACAATGTTTGCTGAAAGCAAAGTTAATTGGTTTTTTTTTTTTCGTTCTTAAAATGACAATTTTTTCGTTGACATACCCCCCTTTTTACAAACTTATATGACGAAGACATGCATTGTATGTTTAAAACAGCTGAGCAATAGTATTTGAAACTAAAAAATGATGACAAAAAAGCATACCAAAAATATTTTAGTAAGCTGAAAGATATATTTTTTATATACATATTTATGTCTTGTAAGAATTTTTTTTTCGACCAGACTTTTTCACATAAAAAATTCGTAAACCAACAAATTAAAAAACCCTGGCCTTTTATTGAAATTAATATTAAATGAGTCCTAATTTGAAGTACATGTTATGACATTTATGTGACATTTTCCAGTGTCAAGTTTTCTGATCAAATTACCTTTATGAAAATCCTGCAATGTATATGCTGTGGCTTTTTTTTCAGTTATTGTTACTAAGAGGCTATGCCTTTAACCACTCAGCAGACTTTGAAACAGTGAGAATGATGAAAGAAAAATTGTGTTATGTAGGATATGATATAGAACAGGAACAAAAATTAGCTTTAGAAACAACAGTACTTGTAGAAACCTATACAGTGAGTATAACTCCAGGGTTGTAGTAGTTTGGCTTGCCAAATTTATACATTATTTTTATGCCCCACCCAGCGGAAGGGGCATTAAGTGTTACCCTTGTCTGTCTGTACGTTCCAAAATTATACACAATGCTTATTACCACAAAACACAGATCATGTTCGAATTTGGGTTGCATCACTTTTTACCGTTCTTAAGTTATGTCCCATGGACACATTCTCAATTGATTTAATATTATGACCCACGCCTGGCGCCAAATTCACAGAGGGAAAATGAAAAGAGAAATTATGAGTTAAAGTAGTTGTTTGATATTCTTCAATGAAACAGTAACTAAAAGACACAAATAGAAACAAAAAACATTTATCAGTTAACAAAAAGTATTCGACAATAAACAAAAGTTTGGACATCTTTTCGATTATAAACAAAAAGTGAACAGAAATTAATAAGTTATTTTAAATTATTATGCTCTATTTCTCTCAATTTGAAAAAACACATTTTTGTTATCCTATATAATTTATAAAATAAGAATGCAGATTGTATGACCTTTACATAATTATTGTTTTACCATGACATGAAACCAAGGACCCGCTCCTGTTAAAATGTATACAAGAGGCAAGTTCAAAATGGTTCTCCGCCTCTCACCATTTTAGCTCGCCTTGCCTGTATGAGGTTTTGCCATTTCTTGTCATTGTTTGTCTCATGTAAACTTTTAAAATAATCTTCTCATACATGTATGAAACCATGGGGCCAATTGGATTCTGATTTAGATATACAAAAAATATGTTACACTGAAACCATCAATTTATTCCATTGATGATCCATTCCCCTTTAATGACAACTTTTTTGGTAACAAATTTAGCTTTTTTACCTTTTATCTTGAAACTGTTATAGATACAAATCATCAGGAACAAAAGATTTACAGAAAGATAATATGACTAAAACCATCAGTTGACTCTTTAGAAATTATTTCTGTTACATGTATTACAATTTCTTAACATTTTAGCATTTTACCTCTTGTCGTTAAAACTATTGTAGATAGGACTCTAACTGAATACAGCAAAAACGATCATTAAGGCAGTTCATTATTTTTCGTTGGATACCAATTTTTGAGGATATTGTAAACCATGAATTTGTATGTTCAATCAAGTATAAACATTTTTTTGGATATATTTTTAAATTAATTATTTTCAGCTGCCTGATGGAAGAGTAATTAAAGTTGGAGGAGAAAGATTTGAAGCTCCCGAAGCATTATTCCAACCTCATTTAATTAACGTAGATGGAGTGGGCGTGGCCGAACTTTTATTTAATACAATTCAAGCAGCAGATATAGACACTCGACCTGATTTTTATAAACATATTGTGTTATCAGGGGGTAGTACTATGTACCCTGGATTACCCAGCAGACTAGAGAGAGAACTTAAACAATTATATTTGGAACGAGTGCTGAATGGAGATACAACTAGAATATCGGTAGGTTTTTGAACGGATGATTACAATAGGTACTGTAAACTAATTAGCATTAAGTTTTTGCAGTATCCATTCATTTTATTTTGCTTTTGATATGTGTTTTCATCATGATCATGAACAATGATTATTTTTCTATGTAAAAATCTGTGTAGGTTTATATGTTGCAACTTTACCTGTTAAACAACAGATGGACAGTAACAAGTGAACATCTTTATAACAATACAATGACTACAGGGGAATAAAAAAATGCACCTGTACTTTCTCAGAAAGGAGACTGTAGTGTTCTGCTTTTGAAAAAATTAAGACAGAATTACAGAAAAGTTAACTTTCTGTTACAGGGGTTTTTAATTCAATTTGATTTCTTCCGATGTATCCATTTTTTACCTTTTTCAACTATACCAAATCAATACTTTTCCAAAAATCCCTTCATTTTTTTCAATATAATTTTATCTTTATACTTATCATGCTTATTATTTTATGAAATAAACGCAAAGAAATAAATTATATGAAGGTTTATGAAAAAATTAAGGTGATATCAATGTCCACACAATGGACCCACTTTTTTCTGTGCAACAGATGTTTTTAAAAAGAAATTTCTGCATTATTTTAGTCTATTTTCTTTTGGTTTAATTTAGTGTGCTTTGCTATAACTCAAACTATTTTCTGCTTGAAACAGTATATATATGTGCAACTGACTTATTTTTCAAAAAGCTAGAAAGATAGAAAAAATATAAATATATAGCAAGCAAAATTAACATCATTGTTATTTAAACACACTCTAATATATTAATCTTGTCTCATTCCTGATTTTTTTCAAGTATTATGAAAATTTCTGATTCCAATGAGATAGAACTTTATGGTAATGCCTAAAGTTCTTAAAAAATGAGACTCCTATTGTATTTTCACCAAATGATATGTTGAAGTTTTGCATTTTTTTTTTTATCATTTCAGAAATTCAAAATAAGAATTGAAGATCCTCCAAGAAGAAAACACATGGTGTTTTTAGGTGGTGCAGTATTAGCAGACATTATGAAAGATAAAGATAATTTCTGGATCACTAGAGCTGACTATCAGGAGGAGGGGTTACGTGTGCTGAATAAACTCACAGGGCCAACGAAATAAACATTCCAATCATCTCTTAGCAACCAAAAAATGATCAAAAGTTCATATCATAGAGATACCAGACGTTAAGTGAAGCTGAGCAAGGTTGATTGTTATTTGCAAGCATCGTGTACATTTTATGCTACATCTGCTTGTTTCAGACATAAGTATTTCATGTGGATACACCTTATTGCTATTTGGAAATCTTCACCGCTTGACCCGAGAATCTGGGCTGCTTGAACTATTGACGTCATAGAACAATCACTTTTCAATTGTGGTGTCAGTTATTTTCTATTGTGACGTCAAAATTTTACGGGAACCTTTGTGATGTCCAGTAATGGCAGACAAATAGCGATAAGGTGTATTAGCATGGTGAACAATATTTTTCCATATTTGTTTATGCGATAGTTAGATTTTATATGTTGTTAGTTGTAGGGTGGAATTGAAAATGTTTAACAGTCAGATTTTTGAAAATAAATTTGATCATTAAACATTTTCCACTTTGTGAATTTTATTGAATTTTACTTGCAACTTAAGTTACTTGTTCAAGCACAAAGAAGCTTATATTTTATACAGCATTATTTCATCTATATACATCTAACATACAATCAGCTTTGCTTAGCTTTATTAATACTTTGATATGAAAATAGTTACATGTATTTCATTGTCACTCTTGGTGCAGATTTCCGAAAATGTTTCAGATTATAACATAATGTTATTATGTGGATTCAATACTATTCTTTTGATTCTAATTTCGGTGGATTACGTTAGTTTAGTTTAACCACAAATTTAAACGTTCAACCAAATAAAAATAATATTGACTTTCAAACTGAAGTTGTGAAAACCATGAAATCAAGTATCCACAAAAGTTCAATTTGTCCAGAATCCACGAAAATTTGTATCCACAGAAAAAGATGAATCCACAGTGTATTTATGAATAGTGTAAAAGTTAGCAAATATATAATCCAAAGAAAACTTGATGGCTGACAGTGTTCTCCCATGCTTTTTCAAATAGTATTATGGGATTTGAAACAGCATTGTTGTTCTGAAGTTGTAAGTACAACATTTATAATGCATTCTATTTCAAAATCTAAGCAGATCGCACCATGGTTAATATATAACACTATGGTACCATGATGCTGTAAGGCATTTTGGGGAGAACACTATAGGAGAAATACATATACTCTTATCACTACTATAGCAATTTCATTTTGGGTACCTTTTGAAAATATGATATTAATTCACGCATACTTCATGAGACTGATTGATTCAATAGTAATCGGGGTTCATCACAGGGTTTTCTGCTTGGATTGTTACTAGTCACATCCATTTAGTGCCACCTTTTGAATATGTGTGTGACTCTTGAAAATTGAGATATAAGAAACTGGAAAAAAACGCAAGTTTAAAATTCGGATCACTGGTGAAAGTTTTACAGTAAGATGTAATAGTGTCTGATCCTTTTATGACCTTTTATTATTTTCCCTTTGATGAACCCTGATAAATGTATGAATGAATTTAAATATGTTTTGCATGATTTTCCTTGGTATTTTTGTATAATTATGGATGGATGGCATAACTTAATTAAATGAGGGCTTAATTTTGAAGTCTGACATTTTTTTCTGTTGAATTTCGAATAAATTTTGCACTTTGTTTGAAATAATCAAGCAAATGTTTGTAAAATATTATCAAAAGATAAATGATAATTAAACAAAATTATAGTAACAAGAAACTCAGAATATGTAGTTATCTGAAATTGATAAATTAACAGTGTTAACAAAGTAGAAACGCAATATTTCAGACGTTTTTGAAACATATAATACTTGTTAACTAGAATTGAAATGAATGAAAGTACTGTAATAAGATGCTACCATTCCAAGGAGTTTACAAATATTCTCTGGCAATCTATTTTATGACCTTTATATATTTTTTTAATGTGTATTTGTTCTGTTGAAGTCTGATTATTTATAGAATTAAGTCTTGTAATTGTTTAAATCATGTGTTCTTTTAAAATTACATGATGTTCCATGTAAGTCTTAAATTTATTTCTTTGATTGATTAAATGACTTTTAACTTTCTTGAAGAGAGCACATATACCTTTTTGTAATCTTTTTTATATGCACCTGTAAAAAGCAGCATAGAATATAGTAAGCAAAGAAATGAAGAAAAATAAATGTTATCAGTTAATTTGCTTTTGAACAATTTAACTGTAGCATATGTAGCTTTTATGCTTTATGAAATATTTAAAGGTACAAGACCTATGAATTTGTTGAATGTAAAAAAAAATTAAAGAATTGTTTGAATATGCTCTTTTGGTTCAACTTTCAACGAATCAAGTGCACCTTTTGATTTATTTCTAGATATAGAAAATTTATCCTTTTAGTCTTTATGTTGACGGCAAAGGAAAATTAAATGCCAGTATATAAGATCAGATTTTTATTATTGAGGAGGGATGTTTTCACACAATAGTATAATATATAGAAGGTGCTTTTTTGTATGATTTTCCATGTCTCATTATGTATATTATTATATTGTAAGATATTGTGTATGCAATGATTATGTATAGGATAATAGTACTATTGATAAAATGTCTTTCAAATAAATTTTAACAGTGATTTGAATGGTTGTTTTTAAGCAAATTTTTATTGACCAATGCTACAAGTATTATGGGTTGTGAGTTTGAACCTCGCTCTTGTTAGTTGTGATCAACGCCAATCTTAATAGACAAGTATTTTGAGCTTTCCAGCCAAATGTCCTGGTTCTCTCCAGGTTCACGGGCTGCCTCCACCAATAAAAATCCCTGCAAGGTTTGTGCCAAGTTTAACACCAAAAAGCAAACAAGTTATTAGGAGTTTATAGTTTTAGACCAGTAAGTCAGTTAATTTTGGGCTCAAGGCAAAAATTGGGGAACGTCTCTTTGAATTGGCATCAAACTTGGTTTGACGAATATGAGAGATACCTTTTTGACTATCATGTCATGATGTTGAATATTATGGTCATAGATACTAAAAATAGACTGGAATGTTTTTGTACTGTAGGAAAGAAATAATCTTTGTTTGAATTGGGGGGATGGATTGTTGGATATATGGTCTGTCATCTCGACAATTATGGTGTGTACATCTCACAACTTTTACTAGAGGAGGAGTTTGATGTGTAATCCAGTATTTTTTGTAATTCTTTTTAAATAATGGCACAAAAAGAAAGTAAGATCTGTATCCATGATGTGGTCATCAAAGGTTTAGGTCACAGATACTAAATTTTGACAAAATTCATTGCGAAAACGGTTTCTCTGTAACCTGCCCAGGGGCGGATCCAGCCAATTATAAAAGGGGGGGGTTCCTAACCCAGAATAAAGGGGGGGGGGTGTGTTCCAACTATATGTCCCCATTCAAATGCAACCCCGGAACCACCCCTCCCCCCCTCGATCCGCCCCTGCTGCCTAAGGGACTGGAACTAAACTTGCATAATAGAAGGAGATCTGTCAACATATCAAAGTTAAAGGCAGATACTTAAAAGAAAGTGGTTTATGGATGATGACCCAATAACTTCTTTTGGGATTGGAATCAAATTTGAATATTTACATAATGAGAGGAATAATTATTGATTGTAAATTTCGTGCATCGTAGTTCAGGCTCACAGGTACTGAAATTAGTGGAGAAAAGGGGTTCTTAATTATAACCCAAGAATATTTTGATTGAAACCAAAAATGGGTATATTGCTAGCACATTTGATGAGAGAAAGATTTATATTGGTTTTGAGGTCAACTGCTCATATATCAAGGCCAATACTAAAAATAGACTTGAATTTAAGCAGATAATAGATTTCTTTAAAAATAAATTGAGACGTGGTATATGTGAGCTTGCTCACTGAGGCTCTTGATTTTTCTTAGCTCATCTGATCTAAGTAACCATGTTAGCTATTATAAATTACCTGCGTTCATATCCGTATACATGGGTATTTTAACACCCTGAAGTACCCCCAGTATATCATGAGGAAAAGCTGAAGGGTGTTAAAATACCCATAACTACGGATATAAATGTAGATAACGAATTTATCCCTGGTCTTAATCCGAATGTGGCTATTTTTAGGGAAATTCGGACACAAAGTGTAAGTGAAAGCAACTTATTTTTTATTATTTAGAAAAGTGTTAAGAGAAATTTGGAAATTTGACATATTTTTACGGGGTGTAGTGTACTTCTTTTGGTAGAAGCCTACTGGTATTCAAATATAAGACGTTTTTAATCCAGTGATCAATTGTGAACAACCACAAGTTCCCCGGGGTAATGGGTAGCAATACTCAGGTATATGGGTTAGCAACACCCGGGCTGGGATTTTTAACGACGTGTCATTAGGAAATCAAAATCCTAGACATACACTAAAAAGAATGAAGACAACAAGTTATAAATTTCATTCATCCGAAGTGCCTTTCTGGATTTACCTACATCAGGAACGCGCAAAGCCGGATATTCGAAAGCCAAAGGAGGTATAAGACCCGACACGGTTGAAGAGCTATATATATATTGCCAAAAAAAGCCGGGACTTATATAATTATATCGCACCTTTATAAAATATTTTTAAATTCCATATTCTGACCTAAAATCATTTATGGAAGGTTCTTCACAAAAATTCCTCATTTTAGTTCTAAGCTGACTGGGTAAAACATGGATATATGGAGAGTCTTGATTTTCAGTATTCAATGTATTTGCCCACAGCAACAAAGTTTGCCAGGAATATGTTAATATGATTAATAAAAGACTTTTGGATTTAAGGCTCAAATAGGGGCTATTCTGTTACAATTCTTCATTTTGTGACTGCACAGTTCACTTTTTACACTTTCAGTCAATGTAGTAGAGCAATATAATCCATATTTAGAGATAATACACATTTGGCTAAATAATTAAGTACTCTGAACAATAGATAAATCATAGATAAGATGAAGTACTAATCTCTTGTATACATAAATCCTCCTTTTACTTAAGAAGCTTTTAAAGATTGCAGCGAAACATTGGGTTGACTAACTGATACAAAATAAGATCATAAAGGAGTGTGACATCGAGAAAAATATCTAAAAAATAAACCAGAAAACTTGTAATTGTTATGGCATCTACCTGGTGTCTGGATACCAACATTTGATAAACATGTTCGTTCTTTTTGTATTTAATAATTCCCTTTTGAATTGTTTTACGTTTTTATGATGATGGTGCTTTATATAGCTTACCATACGGTATGGGGTTTGTTTGAAGGCCGTGTAGTACCCTAGGGTTGTTTACACTCTCGTCTCTGGTGGATAGCTGTCTTATTTGCAATCATACTGCATATCCTGATTTTTAAAATGCTTAATAATCCATAAAAATGCTAATTTTATGTTTATCAGGAGGAAAACGGACGTGGTTGTACACATTTTTCTTTTTTTTCAAATCATCGGGCAACCAGTAAATTAATCTGAGTGAATCCAAACACTTTACACGGAAAATCTTTGGAAGGTATTATAGAAACATTTTTTTATTATTATTTCAGTTTGATAGAAACGTCAGTGTGCACAAGCAATTCTTCATTATTGTTGGTCAGTTTTAAACTACCACTCTTTATAGAAATACAAGTTAAAGCTTTCAATTTTTATATTTTTATGGATATCAATTGGAAAACCGTTCATTAAGATATTTCTTAGTTATGATATTGATTTGGTAATAGGCATGGCAGGTACTATTGCTTGAATTTAAAAAAAATCATTTAAAGGTTACTAGGACTTGACCTTAAAAAGTAGTAAACATTTGATGTCAGTTGCATATAACTAATTGCAAAAATGTTTTATAAAACCATGGACAGAATAGGAACCAAAATTGTCCTTAAGTATTTCAATGTTGTCTTATCGAAAGCTGTTGCTGACTACCATATAAAATATATAGTATTTTACAACAAATGTAACAGCTATAAGGTGATTTTTGCCTTTTAAAATTGCTTCTGAAATCATAGTATGATAATATGTATGTATTATGAAATTTTTAAATTGATGTTCCGACATTGATGTGTAAAATACGAACATTGAGCAAAGCAGGTTTCTTGCATCTGAAGACTTGTTTTAATTACCTTAATTCTCAAGGATAGGATACAAACAAATAATGACCTCTTAGTGTCATTATTATTCTTTGTCAGTTTTCATTTTTATTCTTGTCTCAAGATTACAACGAAAATGCTTGTCGAACAATATACATTCCGCTGTTCCTTTGCTTTGTGTAGTTTACAAAGAAATATAACTGCTATGCAAATTGGAATCACTTTGATAGGCCGCTAGTCTAAATACCACATGCGAAGATAGTCGGTAAGATAAATTCGTTATACGGGGTGCTAGTGACCTAATACGATATATATGGTGCGCTCTCACCCCATATGAAATTTACTGACCCCATATATATCGTATTAGGTCACTAACACACCATGTAACTAATAATATATATATATATATATATATATATATATATAGTCCGATGAGCACTAAGAAACTTCTTCATTTTAGTCCCTTCTTTTATTTATTTATATGAATTGACATTATAAAACAAGTTAAATTTTGTACTGTTACACCACTGTCCCAGGTGAGAGAGAGGGTTTGGCGCCACATTCTGTATGTGCCTGTCCCAAGTCAATATAGTCTGTAATTCAGTGGTAGTCGTTTGTTGTTGTATATCATATTTGTTTTTCGTTTATTGTTTTGTACATAGATCATTTCGGGGCCTTTAATAGCTTACTGTGCGATATCATCGGGGTTTTGCTCATTCTTGAAGGCCGTAGGGTGACCTATGATTGTTGACTTGTACGTCATTTTGATCTCTGGTGGCAATCATACAAAATCTTATTGTTATATAAACCAGTAAAAGGTAAAATGATTCATTGATCGGGCATCGGAACGGATCTTGAATCCCTATACTGTAATTTTGTGTCTGTATTTGATATCTTTTCCTGTCCGGGACATTTTCCAATTCTATATCTCATTCTAGCCAATATTATCTTTCACACATAATAAAGCAACATTTGTTACGTAATATTTTTAAGATGGCGTGAATATTGCATATGAAACTAATAGCTTCCCACCGTGATGCAAAGCAAACAAAAAACTCTTTGAATAAGTCAATGTTTAACGGATGTCACATGCCCTCATCAATTCACGAGTTCAGTCCGCATTTTGTGGGGTTGTTTTGCTCAATTTTTACATTTTGTGTATTTTTGGTGAACTGTTATTTGGCTTTACGTCTTTTTTCGTTCGACAATCATGGTGTTTTCTGTCTATAGTAAGTAAGTAAGTAAATACTTTATTTTAAGAGTGTCGTTCTTTGACCTATGATTTTTATTGCCCCTTGGTGTCTTCTTTCTTTTTTCTTTTTTTTTTACATTTCTTTCCTTCCTAATGGTGTGACGTTGGCATATTACAAGAATACTGTTCAGGGCTTACATAAATATTTTTCTTTTTTAAAGTAAAGTGTTACACTTTAAACACTCTTCTTTCCCTCTGATAGTAGTCCGGAATGAACCCTCTTTTCTCATCACACCAAGTTTATGCCAAGTAGCAAAGATGACCGAGGGTAGGGAATTATTGTTATGACATTTTTGCAAGCTCTGTGAG